CTCATCTGCTCTCCACTTATTTTCATTTATGATTCCAGGCTACGGTTTCTTCCATTTATCTTTATTTCCTGCTGACAGTTTCTCATTGTACAGAAAATTGATCTTCTGAATTTGCAAAAGCATTCAGCCAAACATTAAGCAATAATTAATTATTCATAACTAACACTGTCACAGTTATACTTATTTGCATTGTGCGCGAAGAGAGATAGAATAGATCAAAAAGTGTGCTGCATAGAATACCTCAGGTAATCGTCAGGAAGCAGTAAGGTAAATAGTTGTAGAAGTGACGAATGTAAAAAGTTTGCACTGAAAGGCAAATTAAACAGCAGAACAACTCGATGTTCGTTCGTTCGTTTTGGCTGTCGTTTAATTTTTATTCACTTTAAGTCCGTTAAATTTACGCAAATTTTATTACTTAAAACTTAGTCATTTTCACACTCAATTTGCCATTTATCAACTTATGGCTATTGTTTAATACTAACTGAATTAATTTTAAGCAATTTGGAAAGTTCGGTGTTTCGTTGCTTCACATTTACAACATTATTTAGTGTCGCGCATAATTTCCTGTACTGTCTGGATTAATCTAATTATTTCTGAATTAAAATGGTAAAATATTGATACTGACCTATTAATCACTCAAAATGACCACAGTAATAGCTGAAAACAAGAATGATTGTAATCAGGAATTGAGATTGTTTGTACTTACAATTCACCATCTATCTTCTAATTTATCAAAAATATTTTAATTCAAATTGATCATTATTTGAAAGCAAAAACTGGAATCGAAATTTGTTATATTTGCTTATCAATTTAATTAATCCTCTTTTGTGACATATAATTACTATATTATTAATACCATTTCAAAAAATCGATATATATGTAAATCAGTGAAATTTTTTGCAATTAACGGTTTATGAGACCAAAATATTTCTTACACAACTAAATCACATTCAAATTTTTTATTATTACAATTTAAGTTAAAGTATTATTTGATGTACAATGCAGTCTAATAATAGAAGTACTTTTTAATTTCTGCTGTAATTGCCTTCTAAAATGTATGTACAGGGTAGTAATGGGAATTCAATTTTCACAATCATTTAATATATTCTGAATTTATGTTATTGAAGCAGTGTACACATTCATATGATTTTTTACTACAATAAATTCATTCTTTCATTAATATAACTCATTGTTACGTTGCGAGAATTTCATGCAAACAATAAGAAAAAGCGTTATATACGTAAAAAAGATCTTCCTTTACTCGTATGAATTTTTTTCTGCGCTTTTAAATTACTTGATAGATTGCACTTATCCTAACATAAATCACATTGTTGACACTATTCAACGCTATCAATTCATTAATGTCTTTGAAAATTATTCGTTTGATCGAATGCCTTCTTTGTACAACCTACATTATACTTACTGGTAGCAAAGCTTTTCATGCGTATCACTTTTTTCATCTATTCTTAAATGATTTGACTAACTGGATATTGCATACAATACATTGTTAAAATTATTGACGTGAAAAGTCTTTTACTGAATTCTCAGATGAAAAAAGATTTTCTTACACATTAATAAATGGTAGTTTATCATCCGTATGAATTCTTTTGTACATTGTACACTTTAAAATCAACCATTCTTTTTTACTGATGCAATTTTTTCACATATTATATTTTGAAATTGTCATTTTTTTTTTCTCACTGCATACCATTTTAATATTTTTGTACGCAATTTTTTTGTGCACAAAAAACTTTTCACTTTTATGTCTAACTTTATTTGTCAGAATGCATTTGATAGCTTGCATTCATTCTTTTGCGTAAGAATGAAGCGTTTTTTATTAGTACTTCAAAAAAGATATTTTTTAAAATCACTGCTTACCTATTTTATACTATTCCATTGTCCTCTCATGCATGTATCATTCAGTGAAAGCAGTTTTTTTTTTTTTTTGAATTATATATACATAAAATACAAGTTCAGTATAAATGTGGCAGTAACTCAAATGTATAAAAACATTTTGCATAAAATTCCGGAACAAATTATTATGTACTTCACGTATTGATTTCTAGAAAGTTGAAATGTGTGTAATATGCAATTCCGACCGCAAATAATCTTTGAACTTTTCTTTCTTTTGCTGACTAACTTATTAACTAATGCATACATTTTTTACTCTGCTTGTCTAGATCTGTGAAAATGTATTATCTATGCTTATGTTTGAGCACCTTTTTATGCATATGTAGCATAAAGAAGCTTTCTAGGAAATTATGTAGAACAATATTGACCAAGCTATTGCGTGCCTGGTTAGTTGGTTACTTGGTTAGTCAGTAGGTTAGTAAGTAAGTAAGTTTGTTAGTAAGTCAGTTGTTTGGAGTAAATTGGGGAATGATTTTAATTTTTATAATAGGTTAAGATTTCGTTAAATGAATCTTCTGTGTTGAGGAATATTTGGTTTCGTTTGTATCTGACATTTGAATTTTGTAAGATTAGTTTTATTCATGCTTGAATTTGGATAACTTTTTAGTAAAGTTCAATGTTTGTAGTTTTATTTAAATACAATACGCAATAAGAAATAGATATTTTTAGTAAAACAAACCATTCCTTTTTAAATATGCAAACGAACTTTACTCACAGTATTGTGTGCTCAACAGTTCGCATTATTTTTTAAATTCCCATGTTATTTGTTACAATGTAAACTACTTCAGCCCGCAAGTAGAGAATGGGACAGTGGCTCGCAAGGGCATTGGAGAATAAGGCATCAATGAAACTGTAACTGTATCTGGAAATGATTCATGAGGTATAAAACTGTATTCATTTTTAGTTCATTATTGTTAGTGATATTTATTGTTACTTAATGTAGTGAAAATTGCTACAAAATGTATTACGAATTGTTGTGTGTGTTCTAAAATGGATAATATTAATTTTTTGCAACATTCATTACTTTCAGATATATTCCGGCAGTTCCATCATTATTAATGGATGGAATATTTTTTCCCAAACCAGCACTTCTTAGCGTAGACTGCATGGTCAAGTCAGCACATGATTTTTATATGTCGCCCGAATTATTAAACATCTTAATTAATAAATTTGTTGGTATGTATTTCTTGTTTCTACAAACGCCCATTTCGTAAAATTATTTATTTATTCGTAGTTTTTGAGTAAATATTTTCAATTTCAGTTTTTTTTCGCACTCTGGATTTGCTGCTTAAGTTAAGCGGCTGAAGTGGGTCATTTCCATTGACCTTACACGAAGAAGCGAATTACTCAGAGGATTAAACAAGAATCATCAGTTCTTTAAGTCACCACTCGCTGCTGTAGTTAATAGAAGATAGCTTCCCCCTCGTGGTGTTAATTAATTTTTTAAGATTATTTCATTTGTGTAAAAAAAAAGAAAAAAATAAAAGCAAAAAAAGAACAAAAAACAAAAAAAAATAAAAAATGAAAAAAAAATGAAAAGGTGAGAACTGTACGATACGAATGTGACTTTCATTTTTATTATGAACATAATAGATGCTTCCCTCCCCACAGTCTGAAAATTTACTTGATTTAGGTTTTTCAATTTTTGCTGGTTAAATTGTAGTTTTCAAATTGCAGTTTTTCATTGTATATGTGTATATATGTGTAAATATTTCCTGTATACATTATGCCAGTTTATGTATTTAAAAATTTCATCTATAAAACTTGAATTATTTATACAATAAAAAATAATGTTATCTTGTCTGGATAAGGCTTACAGAAATTAATGTATTAAAGCATTAGTGGACGTAGTATGGTTACAGAATATTTGCTCAATAGATGTATACATAATAAAATCAAAATTCTTATATCAAGAGATTTGCATTCATAACAGTCGTTAAAGAAAATTAAAAACATGCAGCGGTCCACGTGTATAGACTCATAAGTATTAATGTGCAAATTCTAGAAGAAAATGCTTTAAAAGAGACAAATCTTCAACTCCACTTGTACTGTATGTAATAAAATCTAAACTCTAGAAAGTAGAAGTTGTCGCTCGACTTACGGTATGGTAAAAGACCGTATCTACTCAAATTCGACAAGCAGATTTGTTCCTGCTAATGTAGTCTGATAAATAATTTTCTATTGGTCTATTAATGTGATTGCTTAAGGTGACCGCAATGATATCTGTTTGCATGTAATTTTCGAAAATTTTGAAACATGCTTCATTAGATGTAATTATTACTGTATATCACAACATATGAAAATAGAGTGCTTACAGCCGAAAAAATGATCCATATAAATAAGTTAATGGAAATACAATAGTGCTCTAAATTTTTTCTGTAACTTATTATCTTCGCATCCTGTATAGCTCTCTTTATGCAAAACATTCTATTCAATCTTGCTATATAAGCCCAGTTTCTAGATTGTTGACAGACTCTCAGCAGTTGGTTGAAAAAGTAAAAATTGACTGACAAAGTAACAAAAAACGTCTACATCAAAGTAACTATCGCAAAAAAATTTCATAATCTTATGGTTTCCGACCTTGGAAACCATAAAAACGAATGTAAACCATAAAAAACGATGCTACTAAACTGCAAATTAAAAAATTTTTTAATGGATACCAAAATTACAGTATTCAGAAATGGAATTCATAAACTAATAATTCTCTTTATAGTCATATTGAAACTAATAAAATGAATGCTTGTAAATTGCAGAAGAAGTATTAAGTTCTCACATCAAATAACATAGAAATTGTAAAAATTACATTCTCACATCAATTAAAATAGAAATTAAAAATTCGCATCACCATCACATTCAGCAATAATATGATTTTGCAGTGTTGTTGTTAAGGTTTAAAAGCAAAAATGAAGTATTGAATCTGAAGTTTGGCAATGATTAAATTCGAAAACACGCGAAATCCCAAAAATTCTCATACTCTCCACCAGTTCCACACATTTGCTAAACTCACTCTAATTTATTTGAACAATGATAATGATATCACCAAAAAGTGCTTTAGCGACACTAAAAATCCACAATAGAAGCAAAACATCCTATTGCAGTACAAGTCCTACTTTCTCTGGTTTCATAACAGGACATTTCCAGTTATACAGATAGTACTGCAAATTTCCATCACCAGTGCCGAACTTCAGTGCTTCTAGTATTTTTTTGTTGTCCATAAGATCAAGAGCATTGAACACATCGTAACCAGACTGTAAAATATGACGTGTAACAATGCTACTCAATGCCAACATTGAAAATGACATAGATACTGCGATAAATATATTGATATATTATTTTCTATGTCTCTGATCAACTGATTAAAGTGCTGAAAAGTTACTGCAAGTTAATAAAAATCCAAACAAATGTGACGAAGAAAATCATTAAAGTTTCCATATACTTAGACTGTGAAAATAAACTGTACATTTCGGGCCAAAATCAGGGCGTCATTTATAAGTTGCTTGAGAGGTACTGAGGTCGCGACGTTATAAAATGAATATGCAGCACGAACCGATTTGTAGCGAGCATGATGTAGGACCGATGAAGGCAGTGAGTAAAAACTGATCAGATCAGTCACTCTGTTCTCTTTGTTCTATAAAAAAAAACATTTCCTGATATTGTTTGACGTAATTTAAAATAAAAAAAGTGACTGATTGAGAGATCGGTGCCAATATTTTAAAAACAAATCGATGAAACTATTTCAAAAATGTATTTTTATACTACCAAACCCCAAAGCAAAATTATCAATGAAATGTGACAAAAGACTTAAAAACTCATCAAACTAAAAAACCAGAAAAACTAACCACGACAACGTAGCTATAAATTACATCCTCACGTGGTAGAAAAAAGTGCCTAAAATCTTCTCTGCTAAACTTCGGAGCCAGATAAAATTTCTTCAGGTAGTTTTTCAAAAGGCGATGCGCATCATCAATATGGTGTTCCATTAACGGTGATAAATTTGAAGTTAATGGCTGCTAGAAAAATTATGTATGTGATTTTCATATGATATTCGTAATTATAGAGTAGATTTACTCGAAGCCGTTCAATTTACAGTTGAAACTGATTTAATTGGATAGAATCATGAACAAGACTACACTATTAGATAATCTATTTTAGATTCTTCCTTCATTATACTATTAGATAATCTATTTTAGATTCTATCCAAATTAAATGAGTTGTTTTTTCCTTCATTATACTATTAGATAATCTATTTTAGATTTTAGATTATCTAATAGCATAATGAAGGAAGAAGCAAGCTGATGAAGTACCTCTGGAAGTTTAAATAACTTCAATGTTCTTTGCATAGTCATCTTTCTAGGAAGTCGTGAAAATTTCACTTCTATGAGCTTCTTCGGATTGAGAGATCGGTGCCAATATCTTAAAAACAAATCTGTGAAATAATAATTTCCTGACAACAGTTAGCACCACCAACTTTCCAATAACTAAAAATAAAACGAACAAAAATAAAACGAAGGTGACAAACTGAAAAAAAAAACTTCATACTGACCACAGCATGTCAAGACTTTATTGAAGAAATATTCATTTGAAATTAAGAAAATCAAAAGAGCTCAATTATATCCCATCAAGTTCCTCAACAGCATTCACGACATTGCGTATATAATTATACTCATGGTCAAAGCAAAAGGAAAGAGATACATGTAAGAGCAACAATTTTAAAAAAATAAAAACATCAGTTGTTTAAGGCAAGAAATAATTACCGGCATGTCGAAATCGGTTTCGGCAAAATGACACCAGCAGTAAAAGCTGCTTGAAAAATACCCTCACAATTCACACGACGGGTGATTTCACGTATCAAAACTGGCGCCACTCTTTTTGAACGAAGTTTTTTATGCACACAAAGGAAATTTATTTCTACCATTTTGATTACCTGGCAAGATAATTTTAACATAACATACTAAAATGAAAGAAACTCTGAAAAATGTATGATTAATGTTTAAAAATGAAGAGTAAAACAAACGCAATCTGATTTTGCTTTCTTCATTACGCTAAATATAAAGTTATTTCTTTGAAATAGAAAAAAATTTATTAAAAAGTGATAATAAATCTGGCTTTTCTTTTAATATGACCACACGAAACAAACAATAACGCCTTATAATGAACCAATATTTTCAACATTTTCAGACTGACGTTAATGTTTGTAAGTGATCATAATCACAGTGATACAAATTACTTCATCATAGACCCGTATGACTGAAGGTACAGCAGATATGAAAGCAATCAGTTTCCTACTAGTTTTAACCCGAACACCGCAATGCCATTTCTTCATCCATCCCGGAGCTTTGAGCGCCCTGAATTAACAACTTTGCTGTCAATAAAGTTATTAAAAAAATGTATTATTTTTGAGAATATTATATACTCTTGATAAAGAAAAAATGCTAAACTACTTCAATTAGATATTATATTGTGATGTACTCAAATCTTTTGCATACCAAAGTAGAAACTGAGGACTGTAATCGAAGCGAAACCAATTATCTTCATCTTCCACGTAATTTTCCGCCAAAAATGTGTATAATTCCATCAATTCTGTTTCATTATCGATTTCAAGATCACTCCAACAAAATGGCTCAGGTAATGAAAATGGCTCTTGCCGAACATCTGAGATTTTCAACGGTGGTTCGATAGCTTTATTTTCCAAAACCGCTTCAGCTATAAAATGCTGTTGTGATGCCTTCACTAAAATTGCAAGTCTGCTCGTTTAAATTACAGAGAATGCATTTATATTTATAGAAGAAAACGTGTACAAAACAAAAATAATGATTTACCAAACTTTGGAACTGGTTGTGTATCCCAAAACTGATACTTATGTGACTGTGATGGATCTACATAGTTATCACAAAGTGGCTTGTCAAACGGTAACAGCTAAAAGCATTCCAATGACATGATCAACAGTTAGAACTACTGGTGGATCCTATATGCTTCTCTGGAGAGAAGGTAAAAATCAGAAGTGACAACGTAATAAGTAGTTTTCTAAAAAAAGTAAATATTTTTCAAATGCAATTTATTTAATTTTCTATTAAAAGCTGCATTTCTATGAATAAATCAAGAACACCTGGAATTTTTTCAGGAGATCCTGTTGTTCTTTGAAACGTATTGCATCAGCGTTATTTTTCTGGTCATCTGAATGATTATCAATGTTTTTTTTGTGGTCATCATCTTTTAAATTTGTATGATTGACAACGTCTTCATTTTTGTGATCCCAACTTTCTTCAGGTAATGTGGAATCCCCCATGAAACTAAAAAACTAAATATTCCGTAAACGGCACTTGTTTTCCTTTGCTTGCACCTCACACAATTGCAAAGGAACTAAAAACAAGTGAAGAAAAACAAATTATTGTCACGACTTTACAGAAGCATACTGGGTAAACAGAAAGTGAGACAAAATAAACTTACTAACAAAAAAACAAACACATTTTATTTAACTAACTTCACTCAACCTCAGAGCCTATTTTTTCCACAGGAAATTAACTCTTCACAATATAAAATAATTCACAAGAATGACTCATTCATTACACGAAAGAATAAAAATATTTGACAGGAATAAAAGTGCTAAGTACAAGAAATACTTTCCTGACATGACAAGTAAAATTTAATAAAATTTAAGCAAAAGCTAACAATCAGAACGAAAATTACAGTTAACATTACTTCTAGTACGTAAAAGTCTATTACCTTAGGTGTTCACAGCGCAATGCTAACACGATATTGCACAAAAATGTTTTCTGTGATTATGCAACGACATGTGAAAACTTTAATACCAGAGAAGACCTGACATGTAGGGTAAACGAAGCGCATACACACAAACCATAATTTGCTTAACTTCTTTGTCTTCGAAGCAATAGCAAGATTCTTTGTATATTTTGAAGCTATTTGTGATGTCATTGATGCTATGTTTCCATGCATTGTAGACGAACCCTTCCGCACTAAAATCTTCTCAAGCAGATATCTATGCGACTACGCAGTTGATAGGAGACAGGAGAATGAAACTATGCGTATAATCCTTACCAATTATTGTTATCACTATCCAAGTACTAAAGTTGGGAATTCGGTGCTTAGATGAGGTAGTTCTTTGTCACCAAATAAAATATCAATCAAAATGATACTAACAATATTTTGCCCGCATGCACATGACCCCTTCACACATATATGAATAGCCAAATAATTATGTATTCATATGTTTTGCTTACATATACATGAAAACTCTTCCCTCTTAATATCTCATATAAATGGTGTTTGCTGACAGTATGTCAGATGAAATCAACATTTAAAAGTCATCAGTTCTATTGAATGTTGTATCCAGCAGTAATACATGGAAATGAAATCAGTAAAAGAATTTTATAGTGAAGAACAAGTGACAATTACGTAATTACAGCAATAGCACCACAAAAAAGCACAACGACAAATTAGCTTATAAATACTCCTCCAGCAGCGATTTCATTTTTATGATTTTGATAAATTAATGAAAAAAGATAGTGATGTGAGATTTCCAAATTTTATATCACAAAGTAATAACATTGACAACATATCTACACCTACATTACTTTTAAAATGAAGTGGAAATGAGGTTAATCAGTAATTAAATGAGTTGGCACAAACAGCACTATTAAAGGAGTGAACTTCAACAATACACAAACAGATTGAAAACTTTACAAAATACGTTTAAAACGGGAAAAAGTATTTGAACAAGTACAAGTTTATTCATACATCATATATTACCTCATAGTTGTGCTTGTGATCAGCGTTTATTATGAAAAGTATGAACTAATTTCACAGTTTTCATACAAGAATGAAGTCCACCAAAATTATTTTCAACTTTCGACTCTTTAAAAAATTTTTTCAGAAAATAATCAAACGTAAAAAGTGCTTCGAACGCTATAATAAACAACGCTTGTACAAATTAAATCATATTAACTTCCCAGCATAAGCTGTGAGACGGCTATAGACTTGCAGGAGCGAAGATATGCAAAAAAAAAAGTAAAGAAGTTGTGCAGGCGACCACCACAGACATAAAATAAAAACTTACAAAAGAAGTGAAGCATCAAAGTATAAAAACAATTCACATCCAGTTACAGCATTTATTCATCTTTCTTGCTTGAGTATAAAATAATTTACTTTGATTTGATAAGCCCTCACTCGCAGCTATTAAATCATCGAGCTTTTCCCCACGTTCTAATACTGACTGAATCGTATTATGTAACACAACCTTAGTTTCTTCAACCTCTTCCTAAAAACATACTGATAACTCTGAAAACCAACTAGAACATTATTACAGTACACATAAGAAAGGAGACCGAGTTTGATGTAAAGCATGTTAACGTGAGTAAAGAAAGTTTTTATATTTTTCTCATCTAACACCAGCTTATCTTTTATCAAACAATATAATTTGTAAAAGGCAGAAAAACTGCCATTCTTAGAATTGAGAATTTTTTTTATAAAAAATAAAACAGGAAGTATAATTAAGGATAGAGTTACACAAATAATTTTATGCAAATTGATTCACAAATAATATTGACAAGCAAGAAAAAACGTTAGCAACCTGAACTCGAGTCATTGCATCAGCCTCACGAGGATTCTGCCATTTCATCAACAGTTCTGGTAAACTAGTATAAGTGCAATCTTTTTCTGTTTTAATTTGTGGCTGAAAGAGATGGAACTGCACATGTTAATTGGCATTAATTAATGAATTGTAAACCTTAACATCCGGTTAGAAAAAGATAACTACATTCCATATAGTAACTATATTCATTTTATTCATACCACAACTTTTCAGTCCTCGCGAGTTCAAAATCTTTCGAAGGAATTTTTAACTACCTCACATGGATTTATCCTTTAAGTAATCATTCCTTCGGAGCTGAACATCCTTCATGTTATGAGATGAGTGCACTATATTTCGAATGTGATTTTCACTTGCACGGTATGTTTTTAGCTAACTTTTTGATTGCTTTACACAAAATATTATTTAATTAAACAAAAACAATCAATTTTCACTTAACGAAAATAAGGAATTACGGAAACAATAAAAACCCAAAAATTTAACTAACCCACTGAATCGAAGGAACCTTAGCCGCAAAATCATCTAGCACACGACGTAACATTGTGAATGCAACACGTTGCTGGTATTCTGCATCCGTAACACAAACACCTGCTAGCCCATCATGCCGCACGAAGCTAAATATAATATTAATGCTGAGAGAAAGTGAATTAACTTTAAATCAGAGAACCAAATTAATAACCAACTCTACATCTTCATATAACCACTCTAATTTCTAAGCTTTATGATTCTGTAACACATTCAACACTTGACAGTGATAATATTTCTGTTTTTCTCGTTTAACCACTCACACTAGTGATATTAATGGATAAAATAATATACCAACAAAATTTTAAACTAACGTATGGCAAAAATATTCATTTTCTTTCACAGAACTTCGACTAGCAAGTGCAGAGCGTTCAACTAACAATTTTCCAGTAAAAATCATAAATTCCTGCAATTAAGTGAATGAGAGAGAAATAAAAATGTTGAGATGGTTCTCATAAATAATGAATAAATAAATGAAGCACTCAATGCATAACACTTCTTCCTACTTATCGCAAGCAATGTGAATAAAAATCCAACTTATTTTTGCGCAAGAATTCTACCATTATTCTTACATAACATGTTTTTTGCTTCTACGCGTTTATCATTAATGATAAACCATTTGAAAAGAGAAACAAGTAACAAATAAACCAGTATATATAATCAGAAGCTAACTTGAACGGAGCCTCGTTGGAAGAAACTAAAACTGCTCAAGTCGTGGGCAGACTTTAAGGCTTTTGCTTTACCATCAGGACCTTTATGAAAAACCTGCATCGAAAAAATTCTCATATTTGGCCTTTAAAGCCAAACGATCCTATCTGCTGAACCAGTAACCCAGGCTGTATTTTTTTGAATTAGAAATCACACCACATGAATGCTCAAAGACTCAACTACGACACACACTGAAAGAATAAAATCAATGTATATAAAAACTTAAAAATTTTTGGACAGAAAAGTAAACACTGATAATTCCAAGATTATGTTCACTGTAATTATACTCAGCGCTCAATTAATATCTGATTGAATCACTTTAAAAATCAATGGCTAAAAAGCATAAATTAAACATAGCAAAATCTTATATGTTCAACGTGTAAATCGTTCGCATGTACAGTAAGAGCGTCTATGCATCAAAAAGATGAAGCTTACAGACATAAACTCTTTATTCCTTTAATTTGTGCAACAAGGCAGTACTGCATACAGAAAAATGAATCCTGACAATTCAGAGTACAAACTATGTAATACCTGTCAAAATAAAACAAAGCATACACGTTTACAGTGAAAACACATATTTTTCCCAGAAGCAAGTGTATTATACTTTCAGTAATAATTCCCATTAAAACAGATCTCTTCACAAGATACTTGATTAGGACCGATGATCTTCATTCCAGAGAAGATAAAAAATATGCACAAAATCCATACGTTAAACAAATGAAAATATTAATTTTGACGTCCATCCATCCTATACACTTAAGACTGTTATATGAAGAAAGCATTCGTGAAAAACTACAATGCAGTGCTTGAAGTGCTTCGATCTCAGCATAACATCACACACTACACTAAAACAATTACAATCAATTCATTCTACAGCGAATTGCGATCACTACTGTAATGTATATAGAGTTGCACATTTTTTTAAATGCAAGTTCTACACAATAAAATCTTTAATTTGAAACGGCTGCTAGTAATTCTTTAAAATTTATTAAACCGCACACGAAGACAAATTAAAGCTAGAAAATGCAATGCCATTACTGCAAACTACCTATCTAATTATTTTTTCAAACTTAATTAAGGTAGTGAAGGGAAATATTAAGTGATGTTTACTGCAAACCGTTTAATACAATGAAGTGTACGTTAAAAATATTAGTAAATTTACATGAAGTAACTGAATATAATTTACCCTGATATACTTAAATTTATCTTTACCATTAACTGATTTATTATTAATTGAAGTGACATATTCTTTCACCGCACTTTTTGAGTACAAGAGTAGTAGAGCATAAGTAATTTTGAGCGACAGAGCACAACAAACCGCACAGGATTTCCAATATTACAGAAATACTTATACAATTTTTAATTACACGTTTTCTTAATTCTACTATTATAAAAAACATTAAACAAATTCTTACTGAAAGAAAAAAAAACAAGAGAACATAATAAGATATACAGACTACCATAATAGTAGAAATCTTAGAAGAAAAAACTACTAACTTTTATCGAATATAAACTAGATTAGGAAAAATACTATAACAGATTTAGGATATTAACTTCCCAATCACATGGTTCCATCTTTTCTCAAAATTTGCCTCCGTGAATCGATACACTGAATGACGTCCAGCTTTACGTATCGCATCTCGCTCCTCCGGACTCATCCGCAATATTTCCAATATACCATCCACAAAGTCTAAAAATGAGTCAACATTCTGCAAATTTGTAGAGAGAATGTATCCCACTGAAATGAAATGACAAGAAAAAAATCTATTGTTATAATTTTTAGTCACTTTTATTATTTTCTGCTTGGTAATTATTCGAAACTAAGAACAAATACTATTAATATTATTAACTGACAAACTTCATATTCTTCATTTTCTCTTTTTCATTTGCTGCTGGATTACACAACAGTGCAAATATTTTTGCAAAAAAGGTGCCTTGGAATAAAAAGATAACTTTGCTGGGTAAAAAAGTTGAGTTTTAAGCACAGTTATTAGTTCTGATTAAAAAAATTCAATCAACAAAATTAAGATAAGAAATAAAAAAATACCATGCACACTAGATGCCAATAGACCAAGTCGAATCCCGCTTCCCACTGCATTCGCATTGAGTATATCGAGCTTAGGACCACCTATTATGACAGTGTAACTTGTTAACAGAAAATATAAATTTAAATAAAAAGCTGTCGATATTCATAACTAAATCTCCTACTAAAGCTATTATTCAATCACAAAAATGGTGCATAGATATGTAGGTTGTCGATAACATCATATAGAATAGCTTTTTAGAGTCAAATTTACCATTGCTTGACCCGTAAACAATTTCTTAGTTACCTGTATCTCTCATACTTTTTTAGTGAATAAAATGTAAAATGTAGACGCTTCTTCAATAAAATACTTCCTTAACTGAAGACGTTTTAGCAATACAAAACTTGTCTGACAAGTCTATTAACGACTGTTTCCCAAAAGAAACTAACCTGAATTATGAGCAATCATAATCTGACCTGCAGCAATACCCTCTACAACTGATATGCCAAAATGTTCATTTTGCATGGTATGGATACCAATCAGAGATGCCTGGAATATTATCAAAATGTCTCGCCCTTCAAATTCAATTTGTTAAATCTATCAAGAAAAAACATCTGAATGCCAACATAGTGATATTATATCAATAAATACGAATTAAATCCTTCAAATGATCAATTATAAAAATCAGATCAAATACTTCAAATAATGAAGCTAGTTTGTTGGCAGGAGCATTGAGTTCCCATTCTAAATCATCACTGCTAAGTTCCAAATTTTTAGCATAAAGTTGCAAATCTTTAACACGCTGGACATCTTTGTCATCTCGACATCCTCCACAAATTACTAATCGGATCTTTAAAAATTCAACCTATTTTTAAAAGTTTACCCGTCCATAATTGGAAATAAATTTATATACATATTATTCCTAATTATATATATATATCATTAGAAATAATTATTAGAAAATATATGTGGAATACATATATATATTCCACATTCCACATATATTTTCTAGTGATTTTCAAAAGCAACCTCAAGATTTTAGGACTAAGAAATATCTATGTATTTTAAATACTTATATCAATTAATACAATTAGTTTTTCCACCGCGATCAAAAAAACCTTGTAATTTAGATTTTCCTTCAACAGCCGTTTTTTTAACTCTGACAAAAAACGAATTTGGAGTCGATGATCTTTTTCTGGTCTTATTTGTCCGACTGATAACAGTTGCACTCGCCTTTCATCTTGAAACAACTGTTCTGCATTGGGATGAATTCTGAAAAATCAATGAAGCAAATGCTTAGATTTATATTCTGCTATAAAATGGTAAAGTATAACGCTACTTACTGTCATCAAACTGTATTTCATTCGATCATATTTCTTTTTGTTTGCAATTTTCTATCAAGGAATCAAATAAACCTTAGTAAATTGTCAACATTACATGGTGGATAAATGAGATACGTACGATCCTCTATACCCCATAATGATACAATGTGGTCTCGAGTCCATCTGAACTTCAGAATTTAACAATAGTTAAAATGGGATTGGTGATGAAAACAAAGATTTAACAAATTGAATTTAAATATTTTAACTTTGCGCTTATTAAAGACATGAATGAATAGGAAAATGCACTTCAAATAAAAAGAAAAAGCATAATATGCTAACTATGGTTGGGATTCTTCTTATTTCATTTTTCAGAAATAACGATCTAAAACTAGACTAGCTAATCCTAACTTTGCTTTTTCGCTTCAGTTTTTTAAACAATAAATTGTAACATTTCGCAACATATCTACTGATAAAATCATAGCTACATATGCTTACGTGCCATTAACCAAAACGAGGTTAGAACAGATGCCTGCCAACCAATATAAGATCGCAAATACACGATAGTACATCAATTTTAAATAAGTTAAGAATCGATTTTGTGCTATCCAGCGTGAATTACTGTATGAAGCTTCTGCACACTTCACCAAATTTATCATATCTAAATAAAATTGAAGGATGACACAAGATCAAAAGTGAAATTAAAATAAAAAACTAAGCTCACCGCAAGAAATAACAGGATAATGCACATAGCAAGCGACATTGCATCCAGCTAGCCACCTGTAACTAATGAGTGCATGATACCTGTGTCCAATAAATTTATTTATTTTGTGAAGCAATCTTTTCGAATACTAGTTTAATATATGTACCTTTCTAAAGAATACATGTTCCAGACACATATCCTTTCAAGAGACACATAATTTTAAAGACGGAATACAATAATTCTATGCAAAGCAACATTATTTCATACATCAGTTTTCATTTTTTGAAATTAAAAACATTATGAAAAAGAAAAATTAAGTAGCTATGAACCAAAACTCAATATCAATTTTAAAGACGAAAATATTTTTAAAACCATAATATCAACCTGAATAATGGTAATGTTAATGGATAACCCATTGTGTCAATGAAAATATTAGGATTGTATCGGAGTAATGCTTCAGCTCCAACAATGAATCCAGCTAAGCTTTGAAATAGCAAAGTGAAATGAGGATAATTAGCAGATTCTAGCAGGGATCGTGTGCTGAAAATGTCCCCATTTGATAGAGTTGAAATACTTTCATAATGTAGAATCAAACTGAACCACAGAAGTTACTTTTACTAGACAACGATTGAATTGAGAACTGTTTAACAAGAAAAAAGGACGAAATAATGAAGTTTGAAACCTCACAATTTTAATTTCAGTAATACGAGAACAGATAATTTCTGTAAACTATCCTTACTCACAATTCTTAAATAATATACCGCAGATAAATGAAATGCAGATTAGTATCAATCACGTCAATTTTAAAGCATTCTTTTGCTTTTTGCAAGATTTCTTGATGTGTCACATTTACATCTCCAGTATATACAATATATCGATACTTTGTACCATATCTAAATTTTTTTTAATTTGAAAATATTACCTGTAAAGTAATTTTCGAGAATATTAGAAATGCAGTGTAGATTTTGACAAGCAACAAAAATATTTTTAAATTATGTTGTGAAAAAAATAGAAAATATAACAATCATTGCTTTAAAGCACTTCCCCTCATTACTTAACTCTTTTTGGATAAGTTTGACAAAAAATAGTCCTTCCTAATTATTCACCTCAATGATATTTCTATTCTCAAAATATTTCTATTTCATTCATCACATTAAACATCGACACCTGAAACTTTATTCAACTGCTCACAAATTTCAGATGAAAAATTTTCAGGTCATAATTTTTTTTAAAATTATATTGAGAAATTAATGTTTACAGAAGTTAAAAATATGCCTTTATTGATGAGAAAGACAGAAATCACATACAGATAATTGTTATACAATTTCTCAATTCAATATGCCTTCATACTAAAGCGTTATACAAACCTTTTCTGCATGGCGTTGATAGCACACCATAAAACCCGTTCTCCACCACCTCCTGCATTACAATATGGATGAAAAAAAGCTATAGTGTATTGTTGTTTTCTAATCCTAAACCTAAAATTTGATTCTGATGAAAAAAGAATTCTAAATGAAAAAAAATTGGGTAGAATAATGTGATGTAAATAAATCTGAAGATAGGTGTATGATCAGCAATCATTTGAAATTAGTAGTAAAGTAATATGAAATGTGGATCAAATTAAGGGATTCGATTTCCGTTTTAATCTCAAATTTTTGACCTAATAACAATAAAATCAATCTGTAAAGAATAAAGATTGAGACTTTAAGAAAAAAAATGGTATAAGAAAATTACAGTTAAAAAAGAAGCTAACTGCAATGAATAAAAATACAAAAAGAAAGAAAAAATTCGTTTAAACAATTAATGAAGTTGAAGTTTTAAATTTTCACCAAAGTGACTAATTAAGAGGTAACGAATTACGTCATATAACACAATATGGATAAAAAACTGACTAATTTTAATCTGCAGTTCAAGTGATAAGTGATAGATTACTGTACTAACTCAGAGTAATAAGTGAGTGAGTGAAATGAAATTATACCTAAAAATGTAAACCAAAAGATACAACAAAAACATACCAAGCCATCAATAAAAGTGTTATAAACGGTACAAGATATAAAAATTGGAAGACGATCTTTAAGTTGGCTGTTAAATATTCTGAATCCATTTCGATCTATAATTGACAGACTTTTTTTGCCAAAAATATTTTCAGAATAAAGTCAAAAGTGAAGCACGATATAAAGATTTTTAGCAAGTACTCTTAATTCAAATTGAATTTGCTGTAATCGCATTGTAATGAAAAATGAAACTTTTAGTAATTTTAAAAACATTGCCGTTACTATTTGGATCACTGTCCTGATAAACACACATATACCGCTTAACTATTAAGGCAATATTTTGAAGATAATGTTTTCGAGTGAATGATTTAAGAGTGATTACTGATAGAGTCACTTTACGCAAATTAATTAAACACGTATTTTATGAACACGTGCTAGTCGACAACTATTTTGTTTAAGAAATGTTGAAAAAGTTCAAAACTGCCAATATATAATTTACAAACACATTTGAATCTCTTTAAAATTAAATTTAATGAATGCAAAGAACTCAATTACATAAACGATAATAATTCGTATTTTTTGAGTTTGAAATAAATTTTAATTGATATAATTACTATTTAGTTATAACCAACATATAATTAAGCCATTAAATATGCTTGTTTATAAATGTAATATAAAAAATATTTGTAAAACTTGCTTATATTAATACATCCACCACACCAAAGATCATTAGCAGACCAGAAATGACAAAACAGTCTATGCGACATAATAGCACTACTACTTGGAGCTCGATAAAAACGCGGTCTTATTTGAAGAGCATTACTGACATAATGAAAATTTCCCATTTTAAATTTATTTAAAACAAACTAATTTCAAAAAATTATTGCAGTCTTTAACTTTTTTTTAAAAAAACTGCTTTTCTGTCGTATTTATAATTTTCGCGGAAAATAATTTGATCGAATGAAGTTAAAAATAAAATATTTCAGGTTGTTAAAGATTCTTAGTGATTTAATTTTTTTTGCTTGGAATATTTTTTCAAATGCTCTCTACTTCTATCACAAGCATTTTATTATATAATTAACATTTAAACTTTATTTGCATTTTTTTTTGAATTTTCGATGTTGAAAGTTAACCTGAAAATTAGTGCTAAAAGCATCTATTTAATAACATGTGATCATCCATAAAGACAAGATATTTACCACAGTTTTTGAAAACTTTTGAAATTTAAAATATTTAAGCTTAAAAAACTGAGAAAATTATTTGTGTACATAATTATAACTTTTTTTGTAGTGTAAATCTTCCACCTAAACTTTGTTTGTTGCTTACTTCTTTCAAATTTCTTCTACTGGCATTAACTTTATTTGAATACTTTGTCATAACATATGCATGCATTAATCTGTCTAATTACTAATTGCTTTCGATGAGACATATACTTTTGCTTTATTAAAAAAGCAATCAAAACATTGCTTATATTAGATGTAAATGAATCATAATTACAGATGATATAAAACTAATTAAAATTAATTACATCTTCATTTATTGCTTGCAAATAAATGCTTATCACTAGTATCATTAATATCAATTTATTTTATCACTGTTGACATGTTCATTGATTCCTTGTATTCATAACATCGTTGGTAAGGATAGGTTTTGTAGATTTTTGTGCTACAAAAAGAACTTCTCAACTGCTACGAAGAATTTAAGAAATTAATTAAGTGTGAAGCGGAGTTTTGCAAAAAAAACGATTTTACTTATTAAAGTTTCATTAATTGAATAAATGAAAACGGATTTCAATCAGAAAATTAATGTGACTCACAAATTAAAACAAATGGTTGATTTAAGTTTTATCTCTAATTATTATTGTGCACTGTAGTAACTTTCTGCTCGATTGCTTTCTGATATTTTCATAAAGTTATCAACCTGGAATTGAGTTACCTGAAAAATTATTATCAAGGTATACGCTTGGAACAATATCGAATTGTTAACTTAAACTATGATTTAAATATTATTTAAAATGACACTTTTCCGAATAAAATCATTTGCTATGTATTATTACGAATTATTATCAAAGTATCAGTGTATACTTGTTTACTCTCTACTATAATAATAATAATCGCTGAATAAATAAATTCTAGAACATCACACGTATATGTATTATTTTTCAACGTAAGTTAGAAATATTAATATAAATAATAACGTAATTTCAAAGTAAATTTTGCTTTTTATAAATATTTGAGCAAATAATAAATAAAAAATATATTATTATGTGTTTAAAATCACTCTCATTTAAAAAAAAAAAAACTTACAATGATAGTTATGGGCAGAGCAAGCACTAAGACACCACAAGCGATTGCTACGGTTCCCACCAATTTTCCAACTGAAAATTTCATGAAATTTACTTACTGTAATACCAATTTTTATGACAAATATTAGAATTGAAAAATTATTTCAGTAACTGAAATTAAATATATTCATAAATGTCGTATCTTTATACATATGTTATGTATATAATATATTAATTTTAAATTTACGTGTACAATGGATCTAATTTTACTTGAACAATAAATTAGATTTTATAGGTTTTAAAATATAATATTTTTAGAATTTCTAAAATGTCATAAAATAAGTTTTAGTTATTATCCTTTTTTAGTTCGTAAATAATTGCTCTAAACAAAGCAAACTTCAGCAATAAAATTACGTGAAGGAAACTTATCAGTTAACTTGAATTCCAAAGCAGTTATGATCTTGACTGTGCACTCATTACTGTACACAAAATACCTCTAATTCTGATGCAATAGTGAAGTAATCCCAAAATCATGCATTAAAGTGCAATTTTGATGGGATTTTGAGAAACAATCACCAATTTCGAACTTTATTAAGCACTTTTTTACTTTTGACTATCATGCTGGTAAGTGATAAAAATTGAAAACAGTCAGGTCAGTGAATGATTGAGGCGGTGAATACTCAAAATGGAAGTGAAGAAAAATCAGATTCAGTTTCAAACATTGAAATCTTACGAACAGTTGTCGGTGTAACGTCTCCATATCCTAAAAATTAATAATCCTTAAGGATTTTATCATTTCTACGTTTTTTCTTAGTAAGACTGTATTTCAAAAAAAACTTTAGAAGAAGCTGAAGAAAATAATTAATTAAATATGACGTAAGTCATGACGCAAATCGTTTTACGCAAAAGTTACATTTAATTATTAGTTTGAAGGGATTTATCTTGAAATGTTCTAAAAGTTTTCAGGCATTTTCATTAATGTTATGTTATCATTACAACGAAATAGTAATATTCTACATGCACCATCTAAACAGGACATTTTTGATGATTTATTAAAGGGATTCCAGATAACTTAAGGCTAACATAATGACAAATTTTTAAATACGGTAATAAGCCTTTATCAGCCTCTGCTTATCCTTTATCAATACATTACAGTGTCTTATTGTTTCTGAGCTGTTTCCAAAGTTTTGCTAAAGTAGTAATGAAAATTTGCATGCAAAATATAGATAACATGCTAGAGCAAAAAAATCACGTACCAACTGTGGTCATAGTGACGATACACCGGAAAATTTACTTATTTAAAATTTGAAATTAATCAGAATAGATTAAATTTTGAACTGAAGAAAAGTATATTTGTATAATAATTCAAATTTTAAGTAAATCGCAAATTTTTTAACTACTTAATAATATAATATAATACACAGCAAGTACCAATCACTCGTAAAAATTAATTAATCGTCAATCAAAGTTTTAGTCATTGACAAATATTTTTTAATTATTAATTAAATTACAATTTGAAAACTTAATATTTTTGAACATTTTCACTCTAATTCTGTCTCGTTATCGGCACTTTAATCAACTAACATAATAATTGCTTTATTATTTTCATTTTGCAAGTAATTCTAATTTTTTTTATTATTAAAAATTCAAATTGTCTAAGCAACAGCTATCTCATAACTGCTTTACAACTCTACAAAATTAAGATTTTACGATGAAATTCACAACAAATGACTGAAATTTTAACGTTTTTACAGTACTAAATTTTCACAGTAATTTTTACAGTAATAATTTTTGATACACTAAATTTATTTTTGCTAAAAATGAAAAAAGCTAATAATTTGGGGTAGAAATTTGCTTACCACCAAGAAGCAGCTGGAATTGAATAAAATTGACTACCTTCCACGTCCTTTTCAATAAAATATACCAATGTACTGAAAAATATTACAGCTGTTAGAACTACCATCGCCATCATACAGAGCTGACGGAAACTTGCCTGAAATTCACACATAATATTATTATTCAAGTAGTCAGATTCCCATAATCCAACACAAATTATTAGTTTTTGAAGAAAATCCAAAAAAAGATTTTCAAATCTTTTTTTGAATTTTCTTCAAAAACTTCATTAACCATCAAAATTTCAATATACAGTATTGTAAAACTATTTTGTGAAAATTGCATATTTCTTGGAATTTGCATATTTCTTCAAATTTATTGAAATTGCAAAGAGTCAATGAAAAGATTCAAATTATTTGTTGATAAATTCTGCATTTGCAATTATTTTTTTGAATTCATAATTCACTAAAAATAAATTTTCGATTTTTAAAATAAGCTGTAAACTAAAGATGATCTATGAAAAGGTGAACAAAGTATCACTCGCCTTCAAAGTATGCCCAAACATTTGCAAGCCAGCACTATAGCGACCAAGTTTCAGAACTCGAACTACACGTGAAACACGCATAATACGGATCACCAAGAAGACCCCCTGTTAAATTATGTTTTCTCATTTTTTTAAACTGTTATAGTGATTTTAAGTGGTCTGGACATTATAAGTTAATTTATCGACATTGTTAGTTATAACCAATTTTTTCAAAATGTGCTTGAAGATATATTTTTCATCAGTCAAATTTTTTGGTGTAATTAATTTGATCTAATAAGTGAAAAAAAGAGCAAACAGGATTGTGATTATTATGTGTTACTTACTGATGAATAAATATGTATTACTATTTTTAATAAGAAGCACTTTTACTAAAAATTACATATATATGAAAAATAATAGACTTATTTACACATATTTGAATATGAATGAATTGATTTATTTTTAAAAAATATCAGAAGTTATAATTTTTTCACAGTACAATACAAAAATTGTTTGCAGTTGATTGTGTTTAATCATCTGGTCCGATTTACAAATTACTATCTTTTATAACGAGTTTTATACTTCAGTTCAATTTAGAAAGTTATGCATACAACCACATTAACTTAAATACGAAAGAATGTGGTAAAAGTTTGTAGCATAAATAATTATCACTTTATCTTATAGCTATCATTCATTATGTGATAGTTATGACCAAATGATAATATAACAGCATTTGAGTGGTAAATAAGGAAATATACTTTAAGTACTAATTAAAGTAAAATACCTTGAGATCCCGTATATTTCTGATGTTGAATCCAATCAAACTAACAGTCATTTCAATGATAAAAGGTAAAATTGCAAGCAAATCAATGATGTTCAGTATTTGTAGAAATGTCTTCACACGATCATAACTAACAAGCATTTTTAATAAATATTCAAATAAAAACCATATAATACAAATTAGTTCTATGTGATCCAACAAAGGTAGTGGCTCGGTTTCTATCATTGAAGCATTTTCTGAATCTGTAAATTAACTAACTACACTGTTTAATTGATAATTGGGTGTATCGAAGATCAAAGGTGTAAATGCATGCCTAATATTAAGTGACAGCAAGGAAATAAATAGAAGCTATTTACTTGTAACATTAACTGTGAGCTGGAATTCAGGTATTGAGCTTAGTATTAGACCCAATATTGAAACAAGCACAAATAAGACAGACAGAGAGGCAAATATTTGAGCAGCAACTGATCTACAAACAGTAACCAAAATTATTAAAAATTGAATTCAATAATTAACTTCTTCTATCTCTCTTTTTCCGCAAGTTCAGAAATTCATTCCAGAAACTACAACTTAATGAAGTAAATTATGTCTGACAAACTCATTTTCAACAACTTATCTAATATATCAACAGAACTATGTATTATGCAAACTAAACACAAATCAAACTGGTAAACTTTTTACTATAAATTGTCAGATAAACGTTTTAATCACTACAAAAGTGTTAATTAATGTTTTTAGATTAATAAAACGAAAAAAGATCACTTTTGTGGTTTTGAACATTAAAAAAGTAAACTTTGATTTTTTGTACATTTTATCTATTGAGTATATAAAAATTTTTATGGCAGTAGTTCAAGTTGAAATATAATTTATTAAGCCTTTCATTGCAATGTAAATTAAGTGACAGTGACAGTTACTGAGAAAATATTAAATCTATAGAAAATATATTAATAAATTACATTCAACGAGTGCTTCATTGTACTCTGCATAATACATAGTTGTGACAAACATAATCTAATTAAGTTTAAATTTTTGCTCAATTTCGAAAGTTAATCAGAAATCAGAATTATCCCTAGTTCAATTAGTTAGGCATATAATATGTATTAATCAAAACTTGACAAAATGAGCTAAAACCTTGATGGCTTTTCGATAAGATTCCAAATAATTAAACGATATTTGCCCATATATAAATTTTTGAAGCGGTCAATTTGATCTCTGTCCACACTATTCTGGACTGAATTTGCACTATTTGTATTAATTCCTTCGTCGCAACAACAAGGTGCTAAATACATATTTAGTGGAATACACCAATAATCCAATTCATCGAATAAATCTTTTGTACACAAATGTTCGGGTCGATGGATCAAACCTAAATGAAATATTAAGCAGCAATAAATTAATTCAACTAATATATTGCACTGCTATTGACTAAGACACCTTGATTCCAATTATTAAGTAGGGTAGATGATGAATATGTGTTTGTTTTAATCATATATGAAAAGTCAAAGGTCAAGCAATGAAATAAATATGGTGCAATATAAACTACCTGTGATATAAAATTGATAGATTACATTGAAAAGCAGAGGTGAACGTTCGAAATAATATTCTCTATTATTTTCCAGGTATGCATCCGCTAAAGGTATTCGCTGTTCATGAGGTAGTCGAACAAATAAAGCTAAAAGTCCTAAAAAATGCATCCACTTTAGCTAAACATTCAATTCGATACTGAATTTGAGATATTAATTTAAGTAATTAATTTATAAAAGACATATTATTCTTATAATTACTTGAAAAATTTTCACTGCAAGACATTTTCGATCAGCTATATTTGCATTTACTTATTTTCATTATCACTATCGTATACTTTTCCATGTTTGACATTTTTTTAAATAATAATTTTGCAGAAAAAAAATACGAAATTAATAAACGAAAGAGTAGAAATTACTACAATTATTTAATTTATAATCAAATCATAGAGTTAATCATTTTCACTTAGTGGTAATCAAAGGGAAGAATTGATAAAATGTAAGATAGATTAGCAATTCAGAAAAACTTTTATCACTTTATCACTGCATTACTGCATCCTATAGTTATGATAAAGTTGGAAAAGAATAAAGCAAAATTCTAATTTTAATTTATAATAAAAACTGGAATATATTTTTAATAATGAATAAAGCGAAGGGGTCATTGCCTGTCCCTCTACATAAAATAGTTTCTGTTCTAATTAAAAAGTGAGTTCCTCCAATATTCAATCGTATAAATATGTCAACATCGGTGCTGTCAGCAATTAATTTTACCTGCAAATTATAGACGTAACTTATTTAAGTGAAGCAGCTAATTTGAGTTGTAATTTGGCTTAGGTTAGTTATTTTATTTGACTGAAATCACAACACTTATTTTTTTTATTAATTAATTTTAAAATAAAATAGTTCAACTCAGAAAGAATTGTATTAATATGCGATCATAAAGTCGAGAAAAAACAAATGAATGAGCAGCAGAGCTTTTAAAGAACTAAAAATATAAATATTTAAAATGTAACGGAATATATATTACTCAAAGGACTGGCATAAATTGTACTGTAAATATGCTAAAAATTAATCGCAAAAGTGGTAATCTGTGTTTTTGCTAATATATGAAGCATAAGATATCACTTAATTCATATACTGCAAATTATAAACGAGACCTTAATACAAATTTTGTAGAACAAATATTTAAATACGAATTTTGTACAACAAAAAAGTTAAAAAGTGTTAAAAAACTGAATTGTTGTGTTTATTGTACGTGGAAGTCTGCTTTATACCATAAAGTAATAAAGTGATTTACATGTCATCTTGTTTTTGTATAGTTGTGTTATTCGTACTTTTAATCAAAAATCATTCTGGCTTACAAAATTTTCGAAAAAACTGCAAAAATATTCGCATGATATATGAAAGTTTAATATAAAATAGTTATTCTTACAGTTAATATTAAAAGCACTCAGATCGTTATTTTTTTAATTTGAAGCAAATCTTTCATTGTTTTAATCATATTTTAAAGAATACATTTTATGTGAAAGCACTCAGATCGTTATTTTTTTAATTTGATGCAAATCTTTTATTGTTTTAATCATATTTTAAAGAATACATTTTATGTGAACTATTTATAAAAAATACTACAAGACAAACAATTAAGACTTTAAGTTTTGAAAATTTTTATGTAAAATCTTGAATGCAAAATACAATATTGGATAATAAATATTTGTATTACTGATAATAAAACTCTAATTTGCATAATTCCATCAAAATAATGCCATTCATTAATGCTGCAATTTTTTACATTCAAATGTAACATTCAAATTAATATTTGGCTTTTAAATTACTTGAGACTGAAGTAAGCATTCTTCTTTATCATCTGCTGTAGATGACAAAATATGTTCAGTATTCGTTCCTTGTGATAATGGTATTTGTGAGTTTCTAAAAGTTTTTCATAAGCTTTTTTAATAAAAATATATGTATTTTATTCTTTATTTTTTAAGCATAAAACTTTCAATTACTTGCATAATTTTTGCTAAATGAAATAAAATCATTCATTCAGTTTTCGTACAAAAGATTTTTTTGTTTCATTTAGCAGCTTTCAACTACAATTTTTGCCCTTTTTTCACCTTATTTTTACAATATTTTTTGTAACATGACTAAATGTCATTTGAATCTGTTTCTATCGTAACATGTATCTATTGTGTTCAAAATTTTCAGTTTTCATTACTTTCGTTAACTTTTTCTGCCATAAAAAGATAATAAAATATGCAAAATTAATGTTTTTTAGTCAATTTTTGTATGTTTAAAAAAATTTGTGTCTTATTATTTGTAAAAAAAATAGCTTTCCATTTTCTGACTTCAGTGAATATTAATGCATATTAATCATTTAAGCTTAAAAGTGAAAAAATTACTCTGAAAAGTGTACAAGTCGTGGAGTTCGGCACTTTGCAGTACAACCAAATTGCTCAGAAAATCGTTTAAACTTTCGAGTGCCATGAGTTGAAGCCATTAAGGTACCCTGTAGAATTGCAGAATTCATAATTTGAATTCTGAATGAATTGTGCGAAAATATAAGAGACTGAAAAAGTACAATTAAATGCTTAGTAATAAGTATTAGTTGATAAAATAAACACTTATTAAAGTGAATAAATTAACAAATTTTAACGAAAATTTAATTTCATTGAACAAATATAAATATCAAACAATAAGATAATTGCATGAATTGTTTATGCAAATTTTATTATTTTATTTAAAGTAGATGAATAAACTAAAATTAATAATAGCAATTAAATAAACAAATAAATTAATTAAATAAATAAATAAATAAATAAATATTTTGATTTGTGCCTAAGTTGGAGGCATAAGTATCTTTTACATGAAACTGTTGATAAAAAAGTTTAAAATATGAAAAGTTCAAATTTTTTGGATCGCTAACTTACAATAATTTTTATATTAAATAAAATTAGTATTTTGTGTTTGAATTACTGCATAGAAGTAAATAATTTTTAAATGCTGTTTTTTTCTTGATTATTTGATAAATTTATTCAAAATGCTATTATCGCATGTGATACTACACTGAAACTTAATCATAATCACTGCAAAAATCCTCAAGTCAAATTTTTTGAAAATCAAAAAGAATAGACTCAATTTTTAATTTTTATTTCACTCAGTAATTATTCAAAGTTATTATAATTGATAGTATTACTGTTAAAATGATTGAAAAAAAGTTTCTGTTTTTAAGTACTGTTTCAAATATAAAGTTTCCCCGTCTATTATTCAACATTGTAACAAAACTTAAGAGAAAGTCTGAGTCAATTTTGCTAGACCTGGCTATTTGTTGAATTTTTTAATAAATTAACTAATGCTTTTGACTTTCATAAATTTGCATAATGATAAAAGACTGAATCCCGTAAATTACTATTTTTTTAAATTTAAATTTTGAATAAATTTACTCATTCAGTCAACAAAAAAAGATTAATACTTTCAAACTGAGATATAATTTACAATAAGCATGAAATAAGATGAAAGATATATAGAATATAAGAAAATTATAACTTTTACTGTACAAACTTGTCAGCTATTGTAAGCAATAGTTGCTCATGTATAAAATAAGAGCACGCTAAGTAAGTTCGTGATAGTAATTTTAGATTCTATGAAATGGAATAAAATTCTAGTACTTTTCATCTAATTTGTTGCAAAAAAAAGCTTAGTTGTAACACAAAAATAGATACAGAAGGTTGCAAAGGTACTATTCACATAATTTCGGAAATTTATCATTACTTATTTCCAAGAACATTTGTGGTCAACATAAAGTTAAATTGTGCTTCAGTAAGTAAATTATCTTCTGTACAATATCTGCTGCTAATAACCTAAAGAAATACACGTTAAATCATTGTACTGAGCTGATTCTAATCAAATCAAAAACTTTAATCAGTGCTTTTGCAAATCATCAAATCATATCTGTCAGTAGTACAGTAAAGCAAAGTAAATTCCAACCTTTAATTAAATAATTTGAATTGTATTTTTTATCAAATATTATGGTGACATGCTGTTTGTACAATATGAATATCATATATTTTGAATCTAATATCTAATACCTAAAGTTTACGTAAAAGTGGTGCTACTTAAAGTATAGAAAAATAGCATTATTTAGCAGAGTTGACAAAAAATAAAGATGTAATGGAAAAAAAAATTTTATTTCATGTCTTAAATTACTGCCAAATTTGTGTATCAAAATAATAAATAGTAATAATAACTGTTATTGTAAGTGTGAGAACAATTGTATTGAGTGCGTGGGAAGTCAAGCGTAGAAGTCAACTCAAAGTATACAATAATCAAGCTGATAGATTAAATAATAATAATTTAAAAGTATTTACTCTGTAGAAGCAAGAAATAGGGATTTCAGTAGACAAAGTAGACTAAGTTATTACAATCTGTAATTTCTTGCAAGATATTAATGATAATCAATAGGGAAAATAAGTTGAAGCAAAGTATAAAAGTTTATCGTTAATAAGTAATTAAATACTTGAATATATCAAAAATATGTTGAAAAAGTGAGTTAACTTTAATAAACTTAGCATTAGCTATTGAAATGCTTGAAAAATCTTAAAATTTTTGCTAACAATAATGTTAGAGTTATGATACAACTTTGCTTGGTGAAAATTTAATTTGCTTAAGTTAAATCTAAAAAAGCAAAAATCTATTTCTGTAGTTTCTCGTAATTATTTTAATGTAAAGTTGAAATATCACTGCAGCCAAATTCATCAGTCAAAAAGTTTACACGATTTTATTAGCATATTTCTTTACTGATTTTATGCTAATTGTTCATTAAGCTATCTTAAAACGATTTGCTGTCATGGAAACTAACAAAATTTTCTTTTAATTCGCTCATTTTAAATATTAAACGATTCATTTCAATGCTACTTTTTTTTCTTTTTTTTGAAAAAAGTTCTTATTAAGTCAAACAAACTGTAAAAAAATGACTTTACATTTAGACTTTTACAGTTTTAATATTTGGTCACAATTATCATTGTATTGCTAGTATTACAATAGTAATACTATATATTGTGCAAAATATAGTCGTAAAAATTAATACAAACTTTGTATTAATTTAAAATAAAACGACCTATACATTATTAATTGATTAATTAATTAATTAATTTTTGTAAAATGATTTGAATTATTGCCAACTACTAAAAGCTTAAAATTTACTATTAGCAACATTTCATGTTTTCTTTTCAATTTTTACTGCAATTTTGATTCTTATATAAACCAACGCTGATTTTTGAACTAGTT